TGAGCCAAGATTGCACCACTGTACTCCAGCCTGGCAACAGAGTGAGACTCTGTCTCAAAAAAAAAAAAAAAAAAAAAAAAATTCCAGAGAGAAACAACATATAAGTGTTAAGTCATGTACTATTCTAAGTAGTGTGATTAAAATCTCACACTGGCCTACTCTGTCCCTTCTTCACTATAAGAGGAAAGGTGAGTACAGTAAAGTAAGATATCTTGAGAGAGAGAGAGACCATATTCACATAAACTTTTATTGCAGTATAATTATTCTATTTTACTATTAGTTATTGTTAATCTCTTACTGGACATAATCTATAGCTAAACTTTATTATAGGTGTGTATATATAGGAGAAAACAATAGTATATATTTGTTTGAAATAGTATATATATATTTGAAACTAAAGTACTCTGCAGTTTCAGCATCTACTGGGAGCTTTAGAATTTATCTCCCGAGGATAAAGGGCTACTCCTGAATACCTAGTAGCATTTTATCTACCTTGTGGCCATATGAAGGTAATTTTCTTAAACAGCTGCAATTAGAATTTAAAGAACCTAATTTATAGAACGTAGCTGGTCATGGATCGAAATTTCAGGTCCCACAGTTGTTTTTATGAAACAGCTTTTGCCAAGTATAGCCCTTGAAAGGTGAAGAAGAATGATTCTATACAGTGTTTTCATGCTGTTGTGACCTGGAGACTCTCTTTCCTTTCAGGCTTCTATTTTGGTGATGTTATGTTTTCCATCCCCATTAGTTCAGCTGCAGTAATGTCCTCAGTCAGGATATGTACAGAGAGCAATAAGTCTTTTTGGTGAGGTGGGCTTGTCAGCAAATCAAATTGATAACATTTTTACATGGCCTTCTATGCACTTGATTTTCAGCCTGAGTTGCCTAATAAATATGGATGTTCTGTCCAGGGGATTTTCATTCTCATTATGGAACTGATGTTGCATTGCTGTTGTAATCGGTTTATGACTTCTCCAGTTATCTCTGTGAGTGCTATCAGAGTGGAACGTCTTTAAGCTCCATTATGAAAAGCTGTCGTGTTAGCTACGTGGCCTTCAGAATGGCCAAGTCTTTGTTGGAGTTGCTTTGCTTTTGGGGGTCTATAATGTGTAACCTGATTGAAAAATGGGCCCTGGCTCTTTTATGAGCAGGGGAATTGGATAGAAGATTTCTACCTTATAAATTCCCATTTACAGCATTAGCACTTACAGGAAACTTCACCTGGCCACGAATGCCACATATTAAGATGTCAGTATCATTTTGGAATGTTGTTACCTTCATCTCATAGACAAGTGATGAAATTAGGTATAAAAAGTGAACATTAAAAAACCTCCCATCTTCAAGTATGAATGTTCTGCTTATGTTGTAAATACTAACCAAAGAGTGCCTTCTTTCATGACTGGTGTCGTTTTTAAAAGCTATTTTGGATGTGGACACAATAAGCAAATCAGGTAAGGTATTGCTTTGTCTTCTTTGCATTTTTTTGGAAAAGCTATTAGTTCTGGAGAACTCTGTTATGTCTTTTCTTCTCCAAGATGAAACCACAAAACAGAGTAAAAATTGTTAAAATTATATATTATTTGAAAACATCTGTTTTTTTCCCCCAAAATTATTTCAGGAGACCAAGACTGTCAAGTGCATGGAAAAATACAGATGATGCTTCTCTTGTGAGATGTTGTTGACACATTTGACCTCATTTGCAGGCTCAAAGGAACAGTAGACACTCTCAGATAGGATCTCAAAACCTTTGGTTTTCTCAACAGCATCTTATCCTTAAACATTGTTTCTAGCATTCCTGTGGTATCAACGGTGAATGTTTTTTCTTCTTTTATTTTTCTCCTATAGGGATATTTGAGCAGCCAATGTTTGGTGGATTAATATAGATAACTGTATTAGTTGGGGTTCTGCAGAGAAACACAACCAATAAGACACGTAGAGAAAGCAAGAGATTGAGATTCGTTGGTTGATTTTTAAGGAATTAGCTCTCATGCCTGTGGATGTTGGCAAATCTGAGATCTGTAGAGCTGGGAGCAGGCTGGAACCTTAGGTTAGACTTGATGTTGTAGTTTGAGTAGGGATTCCCAAGGGCAGAAGGCTGGAATTTAGGCAGAGTTTCTGTGTTGCAGTGTTGAGAATTTACCTTTGAAGGGAAACCTCAGTCTTTGCTCTTAAGGCCCTAAACTGGCTGGGCAAGGCCCACTCACATTGTCGAACATAATCTGCTTTACCCAAAGCCTGCTGATTTAAATGTTAATCATATTTTTAAAAATTTTCACAGAGCATATAGACTTGTGTTTGACCAAATCACTGAGCATCATAGCTAGGCCTCACTGACATGAAAAATTAACCATTGCAATCACATCATGATTATGGTGAACATTGTGAACATTTGAGAAGAAAACAGAGATACCATCTCCCAGGGTAATAAACAAAGCACACTTATAGGGAAGGTGCTACTAAAATAGAGAACAGATGTGGTTCGGAACTGCGTGGTCCTAATTTTGTTTTTTGAGACGGAGTTTTGCTCTTTTTGCCCAGGCTGGAGTGCAGTGGCACGAGCTTGACTCACTGCAACCTCTGTCTCCTGGGTTCAAGTGATTCTCCTGCATCAGCTTCCCAAGTAGCTGGGATTGCAGGTGCCCACCACCACACCCAGCGAATTTTTTGTATTTTTAGTAGAGATGGGGTTTTACCATGTTGGCCAGGCTGGTCTCGAACTCTACAGGCAGACTTCCTACAGGCAGACTTCCTTTTTTTTTTTTTTTCTTTTGAGACAGAGTCTTGTTCTGTCACCAGGTGCCAGGCTGGAGTGCAGTGGTGCAATCTCAGTTCACTGCAATCTCCGCCTCCTGCATTCAAGCAATTCTCCTGCCTCAGCCTCCCGAGTAGCTGGGACTGCAGGCGCACGCCACGACACCCAGCTAATTTTTGCATTTTTTTTTTAAGTAGAGACAGGGTTTCGCCACGTTGGCCAGGAGGCTCAATCTCTTGACCTCGTGATCTGCCCACCTTGTCCTTCCAAAGTGCTGGGATTACAGGTGTGAGCCACCGCGCCCGGCTTACAGGCAGACTTTCAATCAGCATTCTATTATCCAAATTCGGCCTGCAGAAATGTTTATGTTTGACCCATATTGTGGTTTTAAAAATGGATTAATTGCCAGTATTTAAAAATTGGGAAAATTCACAGCAATAAAATCTAGACATTTTACTTTCCTCAGAAGATCTGGCAACCTAGGTTCTCATTCCAACTTAGTAATGACTGGCAGCAAGTAGTAGTTATCTTATTCAGGCACACATTTCCCAGTGAGCTGCTGCACTTACTTATGTTAACTGCTAGTTTCTTGGTGGTATTTGAGATGATGACCTCCTGCCATAAGGAAGAGTGAGATCCTGTGGGCTGATGAGGTTCTGTGAGGGATTCTAGTTTTGCCTTGATTAGGATTTAGATAAGCAAAATGAGAAGTGGATATGTCAGTCAACTTTAAAAGAAAGAAGCAAAGAGGTATGGAGGTGGGAATGTATGTGAGAAAATTTGCCTAACTAGAAGCACAAGCCTGTGAGATTGGGTGTAGGAGAAAGTAGGGCTGACCTGTCAGACAGGAGCTAGCATGGTAATTAAGGCAACACTGTCTTTTTAACAGTTAAACTTCAAATTTTCTTAAATTTGAAGAAACAGCTGAAGTTTATTTATGTGAAGTCCAAAATAGGTGTTCCTAGTGGATGAATCTCTCAAGCAATTTAGGCTTTTATCATCTTGTGGCTGTGCCGGCTTTACCACTTCTAAAGTCACAGCAGAAGAGGAAAGAGGATGAATGACTATGTAAGGCAGCAGGTTTCTGTCAACCAGACCTGAAGTGGTGCACATACTTTCTGCTCACATTTCACTGGCCACATCCCCCTGCAAAGGAAGGCTGGAAACTAGAGTCTAGCTGTGTTCCCTTGATAAAAGAAGAAACAGGTTTAGTGAACGACTAGCCAGTCTCTAGCACAAGAGACAGGGGCATTGGAGTTAAGCAAGCAAGAGCTACTGTATGATATAATGTATTTATTAATACATTAGCATATATTTACAGACTACTTACTTCTACGTGTTGGATGCTGTGCTATGCACCAAGTAGGCTTGTGAGCAAAGGAGCAATGTGGTGAAAGTAGTGTTTTGAGAAATTAGCCTGGGGGTGGAATATAAAACCAAGAGAAAGCAAATTCTAAGGCAGAGGGAGATAGTGAAAAACCTGTTGTCTTTCTCAGCTGAGAGCCAGTGAGATTGTGTGGGTAGAGAGCAATATTAATAGTATCAATAACACTCATAGTTACTATATGCCATGCAGTGTTACAAGCTACTTTACATGTACTTGATTGTCTCTCAGATTTGTGATGTAAGTGCTATTACTCTCCTTTTCTAGATGGGGAAATCAAGTCTTCAAATGATTGATTAAGCCCATTTGCCCAAATTCACATAAACCTTAGCAGGGCTTGAGGATTTGAACTTAGGCAGTTGATGTTATTTTATAACTACTGTCATATTAATGAAATGGAAATGAATCTAATGGAAACATTGTGAGAAGTGAACGGTAATGAAAACTATATTAATGATTTGAGAAGGACACCGTGACGTTCTAAAAGAACTTCATAACTTGAAGAAGAAGTGAAATTGGAGAAATGACCTTTTAAGAAATCTCCCTGTCCTTGGGCACACTTGGTTGGATTTAAATAACTTCTAATGAGTTTTTGGTGAATTCTGAGCTGTTTAAGAATATGACATCTTCTTAACCACACTCAAAATCAAATCATTGTATCTTGAGGAAATGCAATTCTTTAATTCTTTGTTCTGATAAATATGCCAGAACACTTATTTCTGTGTGTGTGTCATGCCTTTTTCAGTACTGAAATGGGTATCACTTCAGAAAATGGACTTCAAATAATATGTGTCTGGTATTTCCAAAAATATTAATAAACACCAGAGACTTTGGGTTGTTGATATTAAGTTCTGTTTTTGGCAGTTGACTGTTGGGATGGCCCGGATGGAGAGCCAGTAGTACACCATGGCTACACTCTCACTTCAAAAATTCTCTTCAGAGATGTTGTGGAGACCATTAACAAGCACGCCTTTGTGAAGAACGAGTAAGTACAGCACCAGCTCCAAGCTAAGCAGTAGCCTCCTGCGTGGAGTGTTGCCTGATGTAACGTAGCTACAAAACCATATCCCCTTCCTCGGACTCTATATGGCCCTCTCTCCTAGCCTAGTTTTCTCCTTCCTTCTCAGCAAAACATTGTGAAGAAATAATATGGGGTCCACATGTGTACTTTCTCATGCTGCATTCATTCCTTATCCCATTCTTTCTCAACATGCCTCCTTAAAGATGTTCTTGCAAACAGTGACCTCTAAATTCTAAATCCAGGGTGTAGAGTGTCCATACAGTCTGGAAATGTAGGTTACTATGTACATAATTAATGGTTTTTGATCATGATGCATGTCTTATCTATACACTGAGGTGTCTGGAGTCTTTATGTCACTTAATCCTCTCCTTGTCGTTTGATAATATTGAATATTTCCTTCCCAAATACTTGCCTTTTTTGGCTTTATTATGTAATTATCTCCTTCATTGCTCTCATTGCTTCTCAATCTCTCTCTTTTTTTTTTGTCCTGTGGTCTTCTTCTATTAATCTATTTCCTCACTCCTTTAATGGTTACTGTTTTCTAAGGTGTTGTCCTACATCTACTTTCTAGATATTTATCAAATTCTATGTCCAGAACTTTCCCCCCAAGTTCTAGACCCATGTAGAAAAATCCTCAGTGAGGCCAGGCATGGTGGCTCCTGCAGCAGTTTGGGAGACTGTGGCAGGTGAATCATGTGAAGCCAGGAGTTTGAGACCAGCCTGCCCAACATGGCAAAACTCTGTCTCTACTTAAAAAATACAAATATTAACTGGATGTGATTACACATCTGTAATCCCAGGTACATGGAAGGCCAAGGCACGAGATTTTCTTGAACCCAGGAGGCAGAGGTTGCAGTGAGCTGAGATTGCACCGCTGCACTCCAGCCTGGGTGGCAGACAGACTCCATCTCAAACAAAGAAAAATCCTCTGTGAATATTCATCTGAGTATCCCATATGTATGGGGAGCCACAACAGTGAATAGAAGATAAGACTCCTGCCATTATGGGGCTTACTCCCCAAGGGGAACTCAGCATCTCATTCTGCCAAACCTCTTCTTGCTTCTCACTCCATTGCTCCCTTTCCTCTTATTAATAGTTAGGGGCACACCGACTTCAGCCAAAAACTGTGAGTCATTCTAGACTCAGCCAATTCTTGGCAATTCTACTTTCCAAGTTAGCTTTTGACTCCATTCCTCCTCTTCATTTTCATTTCCCCTTTGGTTCATCCTTTACACTGGTGCTGTTGTTTTCTTTCTGAAATTGAGCATGGTGATTCAATTCTTGTCTTAAAGCTCCTCAGAAGCTCTCTTGGTACACAGGCATGTCTTCACGTCCCTTAAGGTCTGGCATCGCCCTTGTCTTCTACTGTCTTCTTCCACCATTATTCCACAGAGATTGAGGTTTCATCTTCCCCATTCAGCCCAGGTCTTTCCCCACTTCCCACTCTCACATATGTTGTTCTCTATCTGATTAATTCTTGCTTACCCTGCAAGGCCATTTAAGTATTGTCCCTCTGACAACTTACTAATACCAATAGCTACTTAAATCTTCTTTTACTCCATATTTTCTCTATATTTAGCACCCTGCACATATATCTATCATGTCATATAGCACCCTCTTGTAACTGGTTACTTGACTTCTTTTACATCTGTAAGACTGTGAACTCACTGAGAATATGGTCTTATTATTTTATATTCATTTTTGTTGCCTAGAAGGTACCTTCAGTACACCAGCTATTCAAGAAAGGATTTTTGAATTAAAAGAAACAAATTAAAATTACAATTGTGTAAAATTAATTTCTTAGAAGTTAGTAGTTTTAAAATTTCCAATATTTGGTCTTGTCATTAATTAAACATGAGGTTAAAATGCTTTTCTAATAAGACACACTTGCTGTATAGCAGATTTAGTTGATGATGTCTCCCATGTGGAGTACTTGCATTCTACTTGAGTACTGCATTCTAAAGGGGCTTCAAAATCCTGATTTCTGCTAGTCCTAGCCAAGCTGGTGAAGTAATTTTGCCTTTATTTCCCAATGAATGAAGTATGCTGTTGAGAAGGCCTGCCACCTATGTATCTTGGAGGATCCGCTGGTGGTTCAACAATTTACTTCAAGTTTGGGAACCCTCAGAAGAAAAGCACTTCAAGTGAAAAGTTAATAATCTTGTTTAGTACATTTTAAAAGTTTAGCCTTTTTCTCTCCTTTCTTAACTTTGGTTGCATCTTTATATCAGGGATTCTCAATCTTGGCACTATTGACATTGTGCACTGGATAATTTTTGGCAGGCAGGAGGGTGGAGAGCTGTTCCGTGCAATGTAGGGTGGAAAGCAGCATCCTCAGCTTCTACTCACTAAGTGCCAGTAGCACTCCTGACCTGGGACCACCAAAAATGTCTTTAGATATTGATAAGTGTCTCCTGTGGTGGGGTAATAATCACTTCATTCCTTGTTGAGAAGCACAGCTTTACAGTAAACATCATCAAACACTAATTAGGGGTTTTTTTGTTTGGTTTTTTTTTGAGACAGTCTTGCTCTGTTGCCTATGCTGGAGTGTAGTGGCACAAGCTCAGCTCACTGCAACCTCTGCCTCCCAGTTTCAAGCGATTCTTGTGCCTCAGCCTCCTGAGTAGCTGGGATTACAGGCATGTGCCACCATGCTTAACCAGTTGTATTTTTAGTAGAGACAGGGTTTTACTATATTGCCCAGGCTGGTCTCAAACTCTGGCCTCAAGTGATCTGCCTGCCTTGGCCTCCTAACGTGCTTGGATTACAGGCATGAGCCACCGCTCCCTGCCTCTAATAGGCTTTTTGGAAATGAATTGACAATGCGAAAATTCCTTGTTAAAACTACCTGATGTCACTGCAGGACAACTCAGCGTTGTCAGTTTGTTGTTACTGTTGCTTTTCCCTCTTTTAGCTCTCCAGGGCAAAACCTGTGCGAAGAAATGAATAGCAAACAGGTTGTAGTTGAGTAAGGAAACCAACCTCAGCCACAAAGGCTCATCTGTAATATGACCCACAGCATCAGGTTCTACTAATGAGGAGAGAATGTAGGTCTGGAGGTCATAGCCAGTGTTGTAAAATTTGTGCTTGTCATGAAAGCCTGGAAAAAGTTTTTCTGCACATTAATATATTAGGTGATTTAAATATTGGTATATGCTGAAAAAATATATTGTCTAGTATATTTGAAGATGTGAAAATTAGAAAAAAATTAATAAACCTGAATTTGAAATAATTTCTTATTCTGTGGAAAAAATAAGGTTGAGAACGGAGTAAAATCGTGTAATCAACCCTGATCTCCTTTCTACCTTAGCCACCAGTTCCTTTAGGTAATTACTTATATAGGTCTCACATTTTCTGTGCAGAAACCTGAGTGCTGGTCTAGAATGAATGCTTGGCTAGTTTTTATTTTTTGACAGAGACTATTATATAATTCTATAAATGTGATTTTGAAATGTGTGACGTAGAATGCTATAAAACACAGAATTCTATTATGTTATTTTACCTTCAATTGTAATTTTCAAGGTGGAGTTAATTATGTATTTTAGAGTCAATAACTGCATTTAATAATCTTCAGTGGTCTCTTAGATGTTGTTAGACTTTTGATTAAATAGGGCAAAATTACATTATATGAGGTTTGCTTTCTTTAGACTTCTCATATCTTTTAAAATTTTCTGTTCTTTTAAAAGATACATAATTTATCTACCGTTTTTTTCTGATGCAAAATGTTAGAAAAGTCATCCCATGTGGATTGGTATTTTGTTCAGCCATTATGCTTAGCAAAGTATATTTGCTGAGAGGAATTTTTTAAATGCATTTCTAATCTTTCTCATTTTAGAAGCACTTTAATCATCAGCAGTATCACACATACTGTCGCTAGGATTGTAAGAACAGAATGAATACTGAATCATTTCCAAAAATCCCTGTGAGTTGCCTGTACCCGATGCCTCTGGAATGTGTTGCTGTTTTCTCAGGTTTCCAGTTATATTGTCTATTGAGAATCACTGCAGTATCCAGCAGCAAAGGAAGATTGCTCAGTACCTGAAAGGAATATTCCGAGACAAACTGGACCTGTCATCTGTTGATACAGGGGAGTGCAAGCAGCTTCCAAGCCCTCAAAGTTTGAAAGGCAAAATCCTAGTGAAGGTAATTACCTGAAGTAATGCAAAAAAAACATTCATTATCAGCTAAGCCTGCCCTCCCTTAAAGAATAAAAACTGGTTTCAAAAGAGAATAATAATTAGAATCATTACATGAAGGATTGATTGTCTTGATCTATGTATGTACCTTATTTCAATTTATTTATAGTCGTGTCTTCAGAAGAAGCTTATTGTTAACTGAGCACATATTTTGAGATTATTCTTATGAAGTGAAAACATCAATACTATAAGCCAAATGTTTGATATTTTAGTCTGTAATAGTTCACATTAGAGAGAAATGCATGTATAGGAGTGTGAGGTTCAGGAAAGGAGAGGCTCCTTGTATCCCTATCTGAAAGCATTTCTTTCAGATTTTTTCTCCCATTTCAAGCTCCAATAACTGTTTGTCAAAAAAATAAAAATAAAAAAAGCTTCATGGTTGATCAGTCTTGGTTATGCAAGTGAGAAGAGCTCACTTCAAAGAGGAACATAGGCACAGACATAATGCCCCACAGGACTCATGTACATGTGAAAGAGCAGTAGGTGAACAGAATGACATTTCATAAACAGATTTTCTGAAGGAGGAAACTTACTACAAGAAATGTTATTAATGCAAAGAATAGCCAGAAAGACAGTTCTTAGAGTTTTCAGATCACTGACTTTGTGGTTTTACTTATTTCCAGTAAATTTTGTGTGTTTGTACGAAACCCACCTTGGGTGGCCACATTATTTTGTGATTAAAAATGTAAAGAAAAGCAATAGGGTATTAAAATTCAAACTGGATCATATTTTACTTAAAAGGGTTGTGTATAAAAAAATAACTATTATGTAGGGGGGTAGGAAAGTCAAGGAGACAAGGTAATTTCATGGCAGAATTTCAACTGGGGTTTTAAGGGAGGGCAGCACATGGAAAAGATGGAAAATATTCATTCTTAGTATTAGTCAAAACCTGTTTTTTACCAATTAAATGAAATTACAGATTCTGAATACATCAAAAAGGTGTTGCTAGGCATTTGTATGCATAAAGGCATTTTGAATAAAAGCTCCATATATACAAGAGATAACATGAAGGCCAATTTGCCCAAGTCTTGCTAAAGCAAACTTTTAGAGTAAAAATTGTGGGTTAGAAGATGAAATGTCATCTTTATAGCCTTGTAAATGTTTCTACTTCTTAAATGTTCTTTAGTCAGCAGTCAGGAGGTTAAATGCAGAATAAATCCATTTGATTGAAATCTTTCTCTTTTGGACAGTGGAAATTACAGTGGATATTTAATGTGAACTGATTGAGTCTCCTCTGCATAACTGGACTTTGAGTTATTTGACATAGAATATCCCAGGGCTTATGGCATTGGGATGAATCAGAGGCAGAGAGTCACTCATGGGAAGGGGTAGCAGCAATGTCAACTGCAAATATTTCAAGGTCATCTGAGATCCATTCACTAATAGTAATGTTGTTTAGACTTTAAGGAGCTTCCCTGTGTCTGTGGACCAGCACCAACCCCATTTAAACCAAAAAGCAAGGCAACTGATTTCCTCTGTTCCTTTAATATCACAGCCATCTCTGATTGAAAAGGGGGCATTTCTATGGCTACTTACCACTTTGGAGATTGACAAGTTTATTATTACATCTGTTAAGCACATACTTTCCAATCATGCAGGCATACACATTTATATATATATGTAAATTTTCAGATAAAATACAAGAAAACTTCATTTTATTGCCTTTCACTTAATTGCATTTCGCGGACACTGCAGTTTTTGTTTTTTTGTTGTTGACAAATTGAAGGTTTGTGGCAACTCTGTGTCAAGCAAGTCTTTCGGCACCATTTTCCCCAAAGCTTGGGTTCACTTTGTGTCTCTGTGTCACATTTTGGTAATTCTTTCTCTATTTAAAACTTTTTCATTATTATTGTATCTGTTATGGTGATCTGTGATCAGTGATCTTTGATGTTACTATAGTAATTGTTTTGGCAAGCCACAATCCCTGCCCATATAAGATAGCAAACTTAATTGATAAGTATTGTGTGTGTACTGACTGCTCCATGGACCACCTGATTCCCCATCTCTCTCCCACTCCTCAGTCCTCCCTGTTTCCTGAGACATAACAGTACTGCAGTTAGGCCAATCGAGAACTCTACAATGGTCTCCAAGCATTCAAGTAAAAGGAAACTCACATGTCTCTTACTTTTTAAAAAATTTTATGTATTTATCTATTTATTTATTATTTCAATAGGTTTTATGGGAGCAGGTAGTGTTTGGTTACATGGATAAATTTTTTAGTGGTGATTTCTGAGATTTTGGTGAACTCATCAACTGAGCAGTATACATTGTACCCAATGTGCAGTCTTTTATCCCTCACCCTCTCTCACTTTTCCACCCCGAGTCCCCAAAGTCCATTATATTATTCTTGTGCCTTTGTGTCTTCATAGTTTAGCTCCCACTTATAAGCAAGAACATGTGATTGTTTTTGTTTTCCATTCTGGAGTTATTTCACTTAGAATAGTGATCTCTAACTCCATCTAGGTTGCTGCACATGCCATTATTTCATTCTTTTAATGGCTGAGTAGTATCCCATGGTGTATATATGAATACCACATTTTCTTTATCCACTTGTTGATTGATGGGCATTTGGGCTGGTTCCATATTTTTGCAATTGTGAAGTGTGCTGCTATGAACATGTGTGTACAACTGTCTTTTTCATATAATGACTTCTTTGCCTCTTGGTAGATCCCAGGAGTTATCTACCAAGAGGAAATTATTTACTCTTAGTTCTTTAAGGAATCTCTACACTGTTTTTCATAATGGTTGTACTAGTTTCCATTCCCTCCAACAGTGTAAAAGTATCCTGTTTTCACCACATCTACGCCAACATCTATTATTTTTTTATTTTGTGATTATGGCCATTCTTGCAGGAATAAGGTGGTATCTCATTGTGGTTTCGATTTGCATTTCACTTGTTATTAGTGATGTTGAGCATTATGTTTCTTGGCCATTTGTATATCTGTTTGTGTGTGTGTGTGTGAATTGTCTATTCATGTCCTTAGCCCACTTTTTGATTGTATTATTTGTCTTTTTCTTGCTGATTTGTTTGAGTTCCTTGTATATTCTAGATATTACTCCTTTGTCGGATACATAGTGTGTGAAGAGTCTCTCCTACTCAGTGAGTTGTCTGTTTATTCTACTGATTATTTCTTTTGCTGTGCAGAAGCTATTTAGTTTAATTAAGTCCCATCTATTTATCTGTTTTTGTTTCATTTGCTCTTGGGTTCTTGGTCGTGAAGTCTTTACCTAAGCCAATGTCTAAAGGGTTTTTCTGATGTTAAGTTTTAGAATTTATATGGATTCAGGTCTTAGATTTAAGTCTTACAGGTTTTTCTTTATAGATTACCTAATGCTTTTGTCTCACAGCTCTTATGATTCTTTCCTTCATCTTGACTTTAGATAACCTGATGACTATGAGTCTAGGTGATGATCTTTTTGTGATGAATTTTCTAGGTGTTCTTTGAGCTTCTTATATTTGGTTGTCTAGATCTCTAGCAAGGTTAGGGAAGTTTTCCTTGATTATTCCCTCAAATAGGTTCTCCAAACTATGAGATTTATTTTCTTCCTTGGGAACACCAATTATTCTTAGGTTTGTTCACTTAACATAATCCCAAACATCTTCAAGCCTATGTTCATTTTTTTTTTTTTAATTCTTTTTTCTTTGTCTTTGTCAGAATGGGTTAATTCAAAAGCCTTGTCTTCAAGCTTTGAGTTCTTTCTTCTACTTATTTGATTCTATTGTTGAAAGTTTCCAGTGTATTTTACATTTCTCTAAAAGTATCTTTTATTTTTAGAAATTGTGATTGTTTTGTATTGATGTCGTTTGTTTCTCTGGATACTTTTTTCATCCATAGTCTGTATTACTTTTGAATTTCTTTAAATTGGTTTTCACCTTTCTCTGGTGCATCCTTAAGTAGCTTAATTGTCATCCTTCTGAATTCTTTTTCTGGCAAGTCAGAGATTTCTTTGGTTTGGATCCATTCTTGGTGAGCCATTGTGATCTTTTGAGGGTGTTAAAGAATTTTGCTTTTTTATATTGCCAGAATTGTTTTTCTGGTTCCTTTTCATTTGGATAGACTATGTCAGAGGGAAGATATGGATCCAAAGGCTGGTATTCAGATTCTTTGTCCCATGAGGGTGGTCTTCTAATGTGGTGCTCTCTCCTTTCCCCTAGGCATGAAGCTTCCTGAGAGCCTGACTGCAGTGATTATAGTTGCTCTTCTGGGTCTAGCCACCTAGCGGGGCTAGCAGGCTGAAGCCTGATACTCAGGAATGTCTGCAAAGAGTCCTGTTATGTGATCTTTCTTCAGGTCTTTCAGCCATGGATACCAGCACCTTCTCTGGTGGAGGTAGCAGGGAAGTGAAGTAGACTCTGTAAGGATCCTTGGTTATAGTTTTGTTTAGCATGCTGGTTTTCTCAAATGCTGGTTGTACTAGTGGTTGGTTGTCCTCCAGCCAGGAGGTGGCACTTTTAAGAGAGCATCAGCTGATACAAGCTTGCCCTAAGGTTGCCTGAATACATATTTGGGTTTCTCAGGCAATGGGCAGAGCCATAGAGCTCCCAAGGGATTATGTCTTTTGTCTTCAGCTACCACGAGGGGTAGAGAAAGACCATGAGTTCGGTGCAAGATTAGGTATGTCTAAGCTCAGACTCTCCTTGAGTGAGGCTTGCTGTGGCTGCTGTGGAGGATGGGAGTGTGATACTCACTCAGTTCAAAGGAGTTATGTTCCCAGGGGTATTATGGCTGCCTCTGCTGCATCATACAGGTTACCAGGGAAGTGGGGAAAGCTGGCAGTAACAGGTCTCATCTAGTTCCCACTCAGCCAGCAAGGCCAGTCTCATTCCCACCACCAGCACCGAGTTTATATCCAGGCAGCTCATGAGCAGGGCTGAGATCTTGCCCCAGGCTATAGGCCTCCCCACTGAGAGAGCAAGCAGATCTTTTAGGCTCCACACCTCCCCAC